GTTGAAGCTAGAGAGGTGAGCAGTCTAAGTCTGATTCCCTGTAAAGACTTCTCTGTTGACACCCACCCCTTGGCGCTCATATGACCTTATGAGGTTCCGAGCGCCGTAAAATCATCTACTATAAAAAAAAATTTAATCTTTCAGCTTCTTCATGTTGGTACAAAGAAGAAAATCCATTCTATCCTGGTTTATCTTTGTTAAAATGTCTGAAGAATTATTAAAAAAGACGATTTTTTGTTTTAATTTTATTCGTTTTACTGTGTTCGTTTACGGTTATACAATTTGTATTGGCAGTATGTGGATCACAAAAAGAGAGCAATGGACTCATGACCCAAAATGGGAACACCTCAGGTATGTAAAACGACTTATTTATGCACGTTCCTTTTTCTTCAGTGGGCATGCCCACGCTGCTCTTGTGCATAAAAAAAATAATCAAAGAATGTTCTTTTCAAAGAAATTAAGACGTTTTCAAGCAGATGCTATGATCAAGTGCCTTTTTATCACTCCAGGATCGAAAACGTGTTACTTTTTTGTACTTACTACTGGGCTGGAAACTGTAGGGTGCACGGCAAAGGAAAATTGGACAGAACCGTTAAGAAAGCCAGCAGGATCTCTTAATGTGATTTTAATGGAACTGATGAAATGTGTAAAATCGCAAGTATTAAAAAATAAAGAGCATTACAAACGGCCCACCACAACCCCTTTCCTCACGAATTGTAAGATCACGCTGTGGCAGATTCGTACCACTAAGAACAACAAAAAAAAGATAATAAAAAAGAAGTTTCTTACAGTCTGGTATAAGGCTACTGTCGGGATAAACATTAATATGTATTGCCGTTTCGCATATGCACATGTACCTATATAACTTTAATGGTCTGTGATAAATTCCTGCATGTGACTGAACGATGCATCTGGTGTGATATGAGCATTATTATCAGCTTTACTACTTGTCTTCTCATTCTGCATTATAAGAGAAATATATTACTTATTTCCTTTGCATACCTGCATCTGTTTTCATGGCTCTGGTACAGACAAGAAAAAGTTCCGTCTGTGACAATAAATCATCATCTTTCTTTCTATCTTATTTTAGTCTCCTCTCTCTCTCTCT